ATAGTACATAGTAGGAAATTATTATTGTTACACTGCCAGTGCTTCAAAAGCAGTATTATATTGTTATATTATCATGTCTGATGCTATGTTATGTTAATGATAAGATTTATTTTTGTCTTCTTTTTATCATAAATAGGGATTTCTCGAGTCATTTACTTCTACATATGACATTAGCTTTTGCTATATAAGTAGATATCATAAGGAAATATTTTTCTATCCTGTTCCACTAAGAGTAGTTTGTAAGATGAATGCTGTTTTTAAAATGCTTTCCACATGCATGAAAAGATAATCACATGAATTTTTTTTGACCTAGTAATGTGGCATTGTTGTCTTTCCTAATCACCTTGCATTTATGAAAAAAATCTTACATAGATTTTTTTCTAAAAATTGTTAATATTTTATTTGAGATTGTGCATCTCTGTTGATTAATTGGAATAATGGTAGCTTCTAAATATACCACAAAATTTCAACAGCTTAACGTAGAAGTGTATCTTATGATTTACCCTCTTCTTCACTCTCTCCCACCATGGAGAGGGTTTTTCTCAATGGCAAACCTTTCAAGTACAACAGATTCCTTCAGTCTTACTGCTCCACCATCCCCTAGATTGGGAGTGGCAAACATTTTCTTAAAAGATTAGATACTAAGGAAGCTAAGCTATCTAAGTTGTCTGTCACAACTACTCAGCTGTCATAGCACAAAAGAAGCCATAGTCAATAAGTAAAAATATGAGTATAGCTGTGTTCTAATAAAATTTTATTTACAAAAACAGACAACAGGTTCACAGACCATAATTTGCCAACCTGTGTCCTAGAGCCCCATTATCCTCTGAAGTGAAGGAGAAAGAAAGAGTGAAAAGGCCTACATATATATTTAAAAGGCCTGGAACTGAACACATCACTTCCATTCACATTCCATTGGGAATATAGTACACATGGCTAGAAAAGTTATTTCCTGGCTGAACAGTGATTTTCCAGCAATCTTGCTATACTATGGAAGGGAGAACATAAATTTTGATAAATAGCTAGCCCTCTCTGCTACAATATTCATAAATAATATTGGTCTATGTTGTTGCTGTTTTGTATTTCTGAGGTTTAAATGTCAAGGCTATACATGCTTCACAAAATATGTTATAATTACCTTCTCATGTTTTTCCATGTTTAGAAAATATTTAAATATGATCACAGTGATCATTTGTTTGAAAATATTGCCTAATAGAATTTTAGGGGCTTAGTACTTTTCTTTAGAGTAGTTCTTTGATAGCTTTTCCTCAGTTTTGTCCATAGTTATTTGTGTATTCAAATTTTATCCTTCAGGTAATTCGTAGTTTACATTTTTCTAAAAATGTCTCCTCCACTAGAATATAAGCTCTCTTGGAATAGATTTTTATGTTTTGTTCACTGAGATATCCCAAGCACTTAGAATAGTATCTGACACAGAGAAAATACTCCATAAATGTTAAATGAAGAATAAATGGATGAAAGGTAATTTTATCAATTCCATCAGTTTACATTGTCAAACTCCCTAAAGTCTCCCAAGTCTATAGCTCTAGACCAATTCTTCCCTCTGGATCCTAGTTCGATAGAACTCATTGCTTACTCAATCCCTGACTTTGGAATTTCTGTAGGCCTTTCACATCCAAGAGTTGAAACAAGAATCTCTCCCAAATCTGCTCTTCCACTCACAGTCCCTATCTTGATAAATGGCCGCCATTTACCCTTCCATTGGCTTTCTGCTGCCTTTTATTAGTAGTATTAGCATTGATATTTTAAGTTATGATCCCTCTTATTAGGGTACCTAGTGTTAGCCAGAGGTACGTTTTGTGTGTGAAAAAAGTGGGGATTTTGCATTTAGAAAGATCCCTCTAGCTGCAGTGTGAAGTGAACTCAATAGAAGAAACATAGAGTTGAAGAGGTCTGTTAGGAGGCTGTTGGGCTTGTTTGATGAGAGTTGGTGAGAGCCTGAACAAGAGTCATGGCTGTGGGTGTGGAGAAAAGAGGATTTGAGAGGTGATCGATTGTGCATGATTAAATGATCAGTAGAATATATCAATTTGGGCAAAGGGAAGAGTGAAAAATGACACCTAAGTTTCTCTCTTGGGCAACTGGGTAAATGGCGGCCATTTATCAAGATAGGGACTGTGAGTGGAAGAGCAGATTTGGGAGAGATTCTTGTTTCAACTCTTGGATGTGAAAGGCCTACAGAAATTCCAAAGTCAGGGATTGAGTAAGCAATGAGTTCTATCGAACTAGGATCCAGAGGGAAGAATTGGTCTAGAGCTATAGACTTGGGAGACTTTAGGGAGTTTGACAATGTAAACTGATGGAATTGATAAAATTACCTTTCATCCATTTATTCTTCATTTAACATTTATGGAGTATTTTCTCTGTGTCAGATACTATTCTAAGTGCTTGGGATATCTCAGTGAACAAAACATAAAAATCTATTCCAAGAGAGCTTATATTCTAGTGGAGGAGACAGACAATAAACAGAAACAATAAACAATTATGTATCATAATAAAAGATAATAAATGCTA